TATGGTTTCCGAGATCCCAATGCTTAAAATGAAAAAAACTCACTCTGTATATGAATAGGTATAGGTATAAAATGGGTCTACACAAAAACGTATATCGTACTACCATAATATTTGTATTATACTATGGTACTACCAATAAGTACCTAATTTATCCTATCAAAGCGCTTTAAAACCGTTTTTTAAACGTAGGTAAGTGTATTTTCTGGGTTAATTGTGCCCAATAATTTAGCACAGTATTTTATTTTAGGATTGTGTCTGTCCTATTGGAAAGGAGAAACGTTTGGTCTCGGTATAGATAATAGATATTTACGGAAGCGGCATACAAGTTATTTGTTTAATTTTCAAATTTCCGAATCTTTGGAATTTACAGACCTGTCAGGGAATATACTGATCTAACCCCTCGTCTACCCCTATCTATAATCTGTAACTTCTGAAAAAGGTTCGAGATGTGTAGATATCTCAATTTACCGTTAGATCCGTGACTAATTGCCTGGTCCATTTAAGCTTCCCTGGATCTAAATGAAGGAAATTATTTAATTTTGTGTTTAAGTTCGAAGTTCCTTTCCAATTCGAACTTGCTCTGAACTTGGAACTTTGGCAAGTTTGGTATAAAACAGTTGAGTTTTGAGTTTTTTGTGATCTCAAAATCTTAATCTTCATAATCATAATCGTTACAATTAGATATATTGCCGGTTGTACCATGTGTTGCCTTTTACTACTTTACTAACTTCACCTAGGAATACGAGTGATATTGTTAACTTCGCCACAGTATTTGCTGTCGGGTTACATGGGGTCGTCACTATCACTATCTCTTTCAAGGTTCAAGTATTAGCAGTGAGGAAAAAGATCGTCGCCCACCCTTGAAACAGAAAGGTAACTATGCTCATGGTATTACGGATTGACTGCAAATAGCGAATTACGCAATACGCCAATTTGAAGATTATCCGTTGCGTTTTCAAGGAAAATGTCTAATGTTAACCCATATCATCTCATATAGATAACTATATCATAAAATTAATGACATGCATCTGAAATTATGTCCTCTTTTCGCGCGTCAAGTAATTACTTTTAAGTGACTTTAATATTTATATAAAGTTTAGTTTATTGGTCAGCTACCCACGTGAGATGATCGAGATTTTTTATTATATCATCAAGCTTAATTAGGCTTCATTATTACAGAATTTGCGCCTATGGTACGGCGCATTGTCACCGACATTTTTAGAGTTTTAAATAACTACGAATAAAAGGTCATTTTATTTGACCATGTCCATGTAGTTTTAATTGTTGTTATATTGCAGCCATTACAATGGCATTTTTAGATTGCCTTCGTACTCCAATTTTGATGACCGTTTTGGGCACCGCGTAGTAATTAGTATAGGTAGAAAAACAATTGTTGCGTAACTGTAAATGTTTGGAGCCCATTTCTTTGTTCAAAGATGCCGTGTACATTGTGGATATAATCATAAAAATTAGTTTGAATAATTAAGACAAATATACCTACTTAATACTATAACGGCTCACATGTACGTAATAAAATTCCAGAAAACAGACGAATGTGATTAAAACTACTACTCGACCTTCGCATGCTGCTACAGTATGTCATCAACTTATTTTTACTCTACAAGCCTTCTTCAACTCATTTAAATTTTGTTTTATTCTTTCAGGTGATTATGTAATTTATTCCTTTAAATTTGTAATGATTAAATTTACACCTACTTTATTTGCATGTATTTACAAGTTTACACATGCTAATAAGTAGGTATACATACGTTTCTAAACAACATGTTATGTAAAGGTTGTTTCTCTGTACCTACACATATAAAAAGTAGATCTAATAACATACGCAAAACCTGAAAATGAAATCACATAGGTAATTTATCTGCATGTTTAGGGGGGTTCGAGGGGGGGGGGGCGTTAAACGTTAATAGTTCTAGGGTTTTTTTCAGTCAGAGAAAAACTCCATTTTTTTCCTATAAGTAGGATAGGTAATTGCGAGGGTTGTATATAAATGATTTTACTGACACCCCATATGGTGCGGGGGGTGGAATTTTTTTGCAATTCTATTTTTTTGCGGGATTTTACATAAGTACATATTTTCTCTAAGAGAAATGCCACAGGTCACGAATTCCATAAAAAACAAGTATAAATTGTGTCAAACTCTTGTACAGATAAAGCGCATTTAAATGGTTGGGTTATAAGGTAGTACCATGCTAATGTTAACTTTCTTGGTAGATAATTAATGGGGAGGAGGCTCTTTACACATAAACAAAACATTTAAGGGCAGCATGGCATATATTCAAAATCTCCCGACACTCCATTCTGCAGATATTTCCACTGAAAGCTTTGACTTCACCAATAGATATGTCTCGTCCAGTCGATTCATTTTGCGTTTGAGAGTACTTCCCTCGGAGAAACCGTTTTTTAGATATTCGTTCTTAACGTTTTGACATCACCAATGGATATATTTCTTCCAGACGTCGGTCGGGGAGGAGAACTATGGTTGGTAAAAATTAATTCCTTTCGTTGAGACCTTTCATTAGAATACCATGAAGGGTGTAGAACGTGGCTGAAAAATAAAATCATAACAAATACGCCTTTCTGAATAATTGCGATCATTTCGTTCCAATCGCCATGCATCATTTAGCTACTTTTTCATGAAAAAAAAAAATCAGACCAACGCATTTAATTTTTTTGAGAAAATTAACCATTTCTGTCTGAATGTCGAAAAAAGCCCTCAAGCGGCGATATGTGAAACTAACAAATCTTCAAATATTATAATATTTGTAGCCGAAGAATAACCCTTTTCAATTAACTCGAGTTTGTTAAAATCGGTTCAGTCGTTTCGAAGATACAGGGTGATCTTTACGGAAACCTTTGAATACCCTCACCACTTCATTTTTAGAGATACCGCAAAAATTTTCAAACAAAAAAGGTTCAGATTAATTATCGTCGTCTTCAAAGACCAGACATTTTTTTGTTAGGTTAATATACCGGAATTCACAGAAAAATCCGTTTTTTAGATTCCAGTAAAGTCACTAGATGTAGAAAGTACCGCAATCATCCGCCATTTTTGGGCAAATTTGCTGCCAACTTAAAAAAATTGACAAATAAAATCTGAATAGCTGTAATTTTTTATAACCTAACTTCATAGTACTGTCATGTTTTATAAAAATATATACAGATATCTCCAAACAGGTGGAACAATCCCTAACATTAAAGTTACTAGAATCTGGTAACTTCCGCCATTTTTGGGCAAAAATCATGCGTTCTCTCTCTAACACACGAGCCCAATGGATTGCGGTAGTTTCTATATTTAGTGACTTTAGATTCCAGATTGCAGTTACGCCTCCTAGCGGCCATTTCAGAAACTTAAAAATATTTTCCAGGTTTTTCTCGTGGCCGTTGTTGGAGATCACAGTTTAGAAGTCCTTTTATTTATAGTTTGGCTTTGAATAATAAAAAAAATATAATGTCAGATTGAGTTTAGTCAATAAATAAAAATACGTTTTATTTCCATTTTGCTGTGTTATGCTGCGCTAATATTCAATAGCCGTTTTACTAATAAATTTTTTAACGCAAGCCTTTACGATGGACAGGTTCCCAGATACAGTACCACGCATTCTTATTTGGCCACCCTGTACATTCATTGTTATGACATTCTGGCACTTATTGTCACTCATATTTTACTTCTGGCACTGTTAAAAATTGATTATGCAAAGAAATGAATGGTAGAAGAACCAAAACAAGCTGTTTTCGATTCGAACTCTTTCCAATTTTACTTTAAGAACTTTAAGAATCGGTTGAAAGTTGAAGTGCAGTGCACAAAGTGTACACTGAAGAGTTTGCTAACATACCTACATGCAAAACACCTTGTTTTTTTGCAACTAAAACGCCGTTTTCCAATGGCGTTCCTGGACTAACATAACTCAAAATCTTTCAGAAGGAAAGTTCCCAGTCATTTACCTATATTTGTAATACTATAGTCGGACAATAACCCAAATCATACCTATATTTCTGCTCTTATTTGACTTTGCAGATGCCCGTTTAAATTCTTGTATACAGGGACTATAAATTTATAATAGAGACGTCTCACTTGAACCACTTACGACGTTCAAGTTAATTGAATTAAATTTAAACTATGATCTTGGGTCATCATCAGCGCTTTGGTTTATTTCTGTACCTTTAAGTATTTGCGGGAGATTGATATTCAAATAAACAAAAAATAGATCTGTAATTTTTGCATTTCTGTAGTTAGCAAACTAATAAACCTACAATAGGTACTTAGTCACAGTTTAGGTACAAAGCTAGACTGTAGTTAAGCTTTTACATGACAGATAAATGCAATATAAATGTGAATTTAAACACATTTTTATAACGAATTGCCACAAAATTGAAAAAATGCGCTATTGTAGCTACTTTGTCCGTCCGTCTGTCCGCCCCTATTCTACTTTTTTTGCTACTTGGTTCGTTATGGTGTCGAGGCTTGCACCAATAAGGAAGGAATTTTTTACGTGATTTTTCCTAAATTTTAACAAAAGGTGCTTTCTAAATAACCGTTTGTCACCGCATTTTGGTTAAATGACTGTAACTAGGGTAACTAATTATTTTAGAAAAAAGAGTGTTAATGTGGAAACGCCCTTTTTGTAAATCGTTCATACGATTATCTTGGAACTTGTTTTCTTAAGGATTGAGCTCATTTTTTTTTCATAATAAAAATACAGCTAGTACCTACTTGAATTTAGTCCGTCAGATGGTAGGTTTCAATAGTTTGTCGTCAAATCAAATTATAGAAATTTTATGTTGAAAAATACCCTTTGACCACCCGCGCCAGTGCGAGGGCTTTAAGATACGATGATAACTTACACGATTCTATTGTTACAGGCTCATGTGGTAGCAGCTTTTGAACAAAGTTTATCGTCAATGACCCAAAGACTGCAAAATCTCACCGCAACTGCAGAAAAAAAGGTATATTCATGCAGCATTTGATACTTACATTGATTCGTTTGTGCAGGATTCCGAATTGTCCGAATTGAAAGCAGCAATGGAGTCGCTACGAGCACAATCCTCACAAGTGGGTATTGGACTTGGATTAGCGCGACAACCATCATCGGACAGTGTGTCTAGTCTTTCATCTGCATGTAGCTTAGAGAAGCACGAGAAGAAGAAGAAGAAAGGATGGGTGTGTATTATTAGTTCTCTGAATAAATTTTGGTTTGGCTAATAAAATTTTTATTTTTAATGCTAACTAGAGCACACGAGGCTTAAAGGTATCTATAGCATTTTCAATAACATTTTCTTATCTGTTTAGCCTCGCGACTAACTACTAATTTTGACATCAGCTGCTACGCAGTCTTAAACAGTTCAAGCTCCATTTATAAATGCTAATTAATGGCAAATAAGATTCCTGGTTTGTTTCATTTCCAAATAGTCGTTCCGTTGTCTTTGTGTATACAGGGTGGTGACTTGCGTAACGCATCATAGGGATTTCAATGTAAAATTCATAACATGCGATTATTGGCTCTCCAAATTATTTTAGAGCAAAAATGTATTAAAGTTTTTTCTAGAAAAAATTTTTTTACGTCAATCAACCGTATTAGTTTTAAATATTTTGCATAATAAAGACGGAAAATTGGAAAAATAAAACTCCCATCTTTTTCTATAATCTGTGATGCTATGGAATTTTATAATACAAAAACTACGCCAATATCCGTCATGCCATGGAATGTCTGCTATAAAACAAATCAAATTCTATCAAAAAGTATTATATTTAGAACAGCGAATTCAACATAAAGAAAAAGACCAAATTACTAAAAACGGTTTCCTAATCTAACAATTTACAATAAATGTTTGAATAAGTCACCATTAACCGCAAGACAGTAACCAAGTCGATCATAAAATCCATTTCGAGCTGCTGCTAATTGTCAACTGGATATTGTTTTGTTTTAGAAAATTCCATGGCATCGCAGATTATTGAAAAAGATGCGGGTTTTATTAATTTTCCGTTTTTATATGAAAAAAATTGAAAACTAATACGGTTGATTGGCGTAAAAAATTTTTTTCTACAAAAAACTTTAATACATTTTTGCTCTAAAATAATTTGGGAAGCCAATAATCGCACGTTATGAATTTTACATTGAAATCCCTATGATGCGTTACGCAAGTCACCACCCTGTATATGCAACTGCATTGTACTTAAATAAACTCGCCCTTACAACAATTGACCCAACTATCCAGAGCTGGCCCTCTGGTAAATCCGCTCTTAAATTTTTTCTTCCGTGGAAAATTCGCCCCCGTCGTAATACGTACTCATAACTAAGGATCTTGTCTTCTCAAAGAAAATTTCATGTTGAGGACAAATCGATACAAAAGGCTTATCCTCGGCTTCGTTCTGTGCACCTACCCTATTTCAAAGGTTTCTGCACTGAAATGTGTACACTCTGTACATACAAAATCTATTTTAGTCCAGGCTATATAATATTTTTGTATGAAAAAAATTAGTTACCGGCCGAAACCGGGTTTTTCAGGCAGGTGGAATGAATAGAAATTAGGAAAAAAATAATTCAAACAGCTGAATTTTTCCGCGAGTGAAATCACGAGGGTTGAAAGGGGTGGAAAGTGGTATTTTGCAAATTGAGGTAAAACTATTGATTTTAGACGAAAATGTTAAATGAAAAAGTTATAGAGATTAAAAAAATGAGCAACTTTTGTATCTGCACTATTTTCACATACCCTCCAATTTTCCTACAAAAACCGGAAAAACTGTTTTTTTTCGGTTTTTATTCTTATTTTTGCGAAAAAATGTCGTAGGGGTTCGAAATTTGGAGGTAACATAACTTGTTTTATGATAAAACAGAAGATAATTGTTTGGGCCCATAAAGTTGAACCGTTTCCAAGATCTCACGATTTCTGAAAAAACCACCTCTTTCTCAAGGGGATGAAAAATCTATTTTTTTTCATCGTACAGAGGTGCGCGGGGTAGCAAAATTTTCGGGAAGACTTATATTTCAATAAACAAAAATAAATAAATATTACCTATTCCTATAGCAAAAATTCGCGAAAATCGCCAAAAACCGGAAAAACAGTTTTAAGATATACACGGTTTTTGACATGATAAATCAACATGTTGGATGTTAATAAAGATTTTTTCGAAATCTGTCTTCTTCCTTCTCTTTAATGTTTGCCTAAATATTCTCTTTTGTTATCTTATGCTCAACTGTTTTAGTTAAAACATCTTTATTATTTCTTTTTTCTGCATTTTTACCGCAATAAAAGCAATTCGAAATAAAATCGAATTATGTAACTTGCTTCCTGATTCTTGAACAATTTATTTTTGTTCACTGACTCTTCTTCCTGCTTGTTTTATAGCTGATGCAATTGCGTTGGACCTGTTGATAAACTTGCAAAATCTGCAATAAGAACGTTGGTTTTACCGGCCAAAAGCAAATGATTTGAGATGTCAAACCTGCAGGAATAAACTTTATGAGGATTTTATTCATAATTCCTGTAAATTAACGATCAACAGGACCAGCTTATTCCCATCAGCCGTAAAACAGGCAGGAAGAAGAGTTAGTGAACAAAAACATATTGTTCAGGAAGCAAAAGAATTCGATTTAACTTCGAATTGCTTTTATTGCGGTAAAAATGCCAGAAAAAAGAATAATAAAGATGTTTTAATTAAGGCAGTTGGGCACTGGGAAACAAATGAAAATATTTTAGCAACATTAAAGGGGAGAAAGAAGACAGATTTCCAAAACTTTTTATTAGCGCGCATCCAACACGGTAATTTATTTGCAAAAAAGCCTATTTACCTACTGTCAAAAACGGTGTATCTTAAAACTTTATGGGCCCAACCAATCTTCTGTTTTATCATAAAACAGGTTATGTTACCTCCAAATTTCAAACCCCTACGACATTTTTTCGCAAAAATAAGAATAAAAAACGAAAAAAACAGGTTTTTCTAGGAAAATTGGATATTATGTGAAAATAGTGCAGATACAAAAGTTGCTCATTTTTTTAATCTCTATAACTTTTACGTTTAACATTTTCGTCTAAAATCAATAGTTTTACCACAATTTGCAAAATACCACTTTCCACCCCTTTCAACCCCCGTGATTTCACCCGCGGAAAAATTCAGATGTTTTAATTATTTTTTCCGAATTTCTATTCATTTCACCTGCCTGAAAAACCCGGTTTCGCCCAGTAACTAATTTTTTTTGGAAATAAACCTTTTTGGAGTTATTTAGCTTGGACTATTTGTTTTAGTTGCTTTTAATAATAATAGAGCACTATGCAGTAGCTATAGGCATTCTAGGCGGTCCCCAGCGATATCACTGAACTTGAAATAAGTATGGCCACTGGTCCTTCTGTCAGTCTGTAACATATCCAAGGGATGCTAGACTGATGTCAAAAAAATGTATAGATGCCTCCTTTATGTCTAGAAAAAATCATACTATTTACACATGTTGCTCACTACTTACCTTTGTTTCAAATTAGGCAAAAACTACATTTTCAGCACCTTTTTACTGATAAACTTGCATATTATTGAGGTATAAGTAGCTATTATATTAGATTCGAAGCTTACCCTTTAGTTAATACATACTTACATTTATTCTTATTTTAGTTACGGAGTTCCTTTACAAAGGCATTCTCACGGAACGCCAAAGTAACAAAAGTACAAACACAACAAACCGAATCGGAGAACGAAAGACAGCCATCGCCGCCGCCACCCGCTCCGATCGATTCGGGAGCGGAAGTTGCTGAATTACAGAAACAGTTGCGTGAGAAGGATCTAGTTTTAACCGATATCCGATTGGAAGCTCTGAGTTCTGCACATCAATTGGAAAGCTTAAAAGATACTGTGATGAAAATGAGGGTAGGTCGGTCGACCTTATTATAATGTTGCTAGGTTAATTTTTTGCAGAGTGAAATGTTAAACTTAAAACAAAATAACGAACGACTTCAAAGGCTTGTGGGTGGGAGTACGACGGTTCCGCCTGACGTGGTTAATAGTGGTACGATGGATCCGATTAATGATCTGATTGCTATAGAGGAACCGCCACCAGAAGTCGAACCCGATGGAAAGCGAATTGTACTGACGGTGTATTTGGGCCAACCCCATTGCTTTGAGAAGTAAGCGTTTGTGTACAGGAAGATTTATTAATTGTCCTTTTAGATACTACGTGGAGCACTATGGTAGCGATGGGAACGGAATAAATGCGACAGGGGAAATTGCAATCGCCCACACCAGTGTCGGCGCGGCCACTTCGTGGTCTCAATTAGACAATGCAGTGCGAAGAGCATTCAAACAGCACGTCGCCAGATTAGATCCTGGAGGCGGGTTGGGTTTAGGGGGAGATTCGATCGCGTGCTACAAGCTCGGGGAATCAGAAAGAAGATTTGATTCTACTTCCCAACCTCCCCACTTGTTACCATTCGGATACGTGATTGGATGTGTAACGTCCCTGCATATTGTCTTGCAACCCGTTGCGGCATTAGCATTTGAAGCTTTAATTCCCAAAGGGGTCGCTCAAAGGTTTGTGTCTTTACTATCCGAACATCGTAGATTAGTTTTGTGTGGAGCGCCAGGAACAGGCAAGACGCACTTAGCGACACGTCTCGCCGAATTTCACGCACAATCGTTGGGACGTGATCCTGCCGAAGCTGTAGCAACTTTCAAGTAAGTTGAGAAATGGTCATAAATTGCATTTATGCTATTCTGATTTTTTAGCTGTGATAACAAATCGGGTAAGGAATTACGACAATACCTAAATCACTTGGGTGAACAAGCAGCAACAGGTGACAATAATGTACTACCGTGCGTGGTAGTTCTTGATAATCTGCATAAAGCGGGCCCTTTAGCTGATGCTCTTGGATCCCTTCCACGAAATTTACCTTGTTTACTGGGTAAGTACGGAGATCGATTATTTGACTTTAAAATTGAGTCTAGTGATTGAAGCTGACTATCTAAATGTAGCAATTAAGTGTTCTCACCCGCTACCTACAAAGATAATACTACACTAGATAGACACAATATTGTAAACGCTCCATTTTGTGCGCAGGATAAGTCCACTCTGTCCGCAGAGTCAATGTTTTTACCACAATAGTATGGAGTATTCACTGCAATATTAGAACAATGGCTCTTATATTATGTGTTTGTCAAGCGCGGCTTTGTGTAGGCGTATCGCATTCTTTCACTGTCCATTTTCTGCTCTAATTTAAATTAATAATATATCCCAGAAAACTGAAACGTCTGCCATATATTTATACAGGGTGTTTTTTTGGGAGCTTTAGTTAAACGTTTCTGGGAAAGTAAAATACGTAGGTTTTTGAAAATTTGTACTTAGGAGTTACTCTGAAGGCCGAATCTATGTAAAATATTTTTAAAATGTCCGCACTTCCGGAAATACCGGAAGTAGATAGTAATTCCGTTATTTTAAATGGCAACTCCTATTTTTTATTGCATTTTTGGATTCTACGTGAAATTTCAGTTCTTTTGATACCCATATGTCGATATCTGCCATTTATGGCCAGCTCAGCGAGGACAGAAACCTCGCGTAGAGCAAAAGGGCAAATGCTGGCTTGATCCCGATGCTCAGTAAGCATAGGGACCGCGATGTCGGCTCTTCCTACCATTTAAAAAAACTGAGTTTTTAGTCTTTGAAGTTTCTTAAATTTGGATATCCATTGGGGCGGTCGTACGCAACTTAACTTTTTTTTAAGTGCACTAAAAGATAGCCCTATTCATTCTCTATGCACTGATAAAAATGGGTTGCCATGACTATAACCTTTTTCAAGTAATCAATTATCAAGGTACCATCTGCATCCGCCATTTTTTTTCTTAAAAGTCAAAATAACTTAAAAACCATAAATGGTATATATCGACATATGGGTATCAAAAGAAGTGAAATTTCACGTAGAATCCAAAAATGCAATAAAAAATAGGGGTTGCCATTTAAAATAACGAAGTTACTATCTACTTCCGGTGTTTCCGGAAGTGCGGCCATTTTGAACCTATTTTACATCGATTCGGCCTTCAGAGTAACTCCTAAGTACAAATTTTCAAAAACCTACCTATTTTACTTTCCCAGAAACTTTTAACTAAAGCTCCCAAAAAAACATCCTGTATAGGATGGAAGGTACTTTCAGTTTCAGCCCGACAATCTACCCTTGTTACTTTTTACTGAGCTTCATCTGAATTTTGTCCCATATATCGCCTGTAGGTATAGAGCAAAATATAACAAGACCAGGAATACATTTTTCCTAAATGATTACAGGGTGAGTTTTTTTTCATTTTACATTCGGATCTCGGAAACCGTAACACATAGAGATCCGGTTAAATGAGGAAAGAGTTGTCGTTTTAAGAGCTCATTCAAGACGTGCTTTTGTTTTTTGAAAAAAATCCACAGTGAACTGGATATGAGCGAAAAAGAGATTTAGTTTGTTGTAGAATCGTTAGTGTTTGAAATATTAAAGAAATATTCCAAGACCAAAAATTGTAGACCTTTTTCCGCTTAATAAGATACATTTGTTAATTTCCATTTTTCTTTTATAATTTTCGAGTTATAACACCACTTACATTTTTTTAAATAGCAACCATCACAGTTGGCTTTGGCATTTTTATAAAGTGCATTTTTTTCTGTTTATAAGTGATACAGAACTCTTATTTGTATTATTGAGAGTAGTAAAAACAGAGTTTGCCATGAGAAATAATAGAAACATTTTTGTCCTTTTAAAACTTTAGGGCCGTAAGTGAGAATTATACTTGGTACTTGAACATACCGCAATTGGCAAATCTGGTTTCATCACTTCAGAAAATTTGATTTTCAAACTTTGGATCCTGTTGAATCGTATTAATGTACCAATTGCTACAGACAATTCTTGAAGCATGGTCTACTAGAGGCAGGGAAAGTCCTACTGATAAATGATATGCGTGCCAATACATTTATTTGGATATCCTCGTTAATAACGCGTTCAGCCCTCTTTAGTTTCGAAAAGGAACCAAACTGCCGCAGATTTCGATATAGATTGTTGAAATGGTAGGGATGGCTGACGTCGATTTTCATAAAATTGTAATGAATTGCATGAACACTTTTTTTATTACATACAATTAATCATTATTCGACCATATTAAGTATTTCGCAATTAGAAAACATCTTTAATTTTCAGAACTGTCAATTTTCAACTAAAACAATGAACAGCAGTAGATACCTATTTTGTTTGTTTATTGTTTTCCATGGCATGATACGATCTATTTTTAATAGTGTATTTAATATGATTTTTAATTTAACTTTCATACTTAGTTAATTTTCGAAGATGGCCCTGAGATATGTTAAATGTGCCACAGTTACACTACCTATCTCATTAGATATTATTTTCCGTGGAAAACTTGTTTATTTACCTCACAATAGTAAGAAAATTCCTGCAGCGCGTTTATTGATTAAAGTACGTTTAGCAAGCCTTATATTGTTATAAAGAGAAAAATTTGACCTGTTTAAAAAAGTCAAAGCCAACTATGACTACCATTTAAAAAATGAAAGTTTGCATTATCAAAAAATGTAAAATCGAGAAGGAAATTAGTATGCTCATCGTGTTAAGCATTACAATGTCTAAAACTTTTATTCGTGTCATTTTGTTGTATTTCTAATAATAACGATTCTACAACATTTAAAAGAATAATGACTAATTCTATTTTTTGCTCATATCTAGTAGACGGTGGATTGTTTTCAAAAAACAAAAAGCTATCTTGAATAAGCTCTTAAAACGACAACTCATTCCTCATTTAACCGAATCTATATGACTTATGGTTTCCGAGATCCCAATGCTTATAAATTAAACTGTTCAAACAAAACCTGTTAAAGTACCTGATTCTTAACCCATTTTACACCACTAGTGAATTTTTTAATCTTTAATTATTACCTAATTGTTAGTTTGTAATTGACTTGTGCTATAGATACATATGTTTTGTTGGTCTATGCACTAAGATATATTATTATTATTATTATTATTAAAATGAAAATATCTCACCCTGTATACTACGTATACACGGTGTCCATTTTTCGAGTGCCACTATGGGGATCTCTTAAGAGATAGAAAGTTGGTTAAATGGGGGCAAAGTTGCAAATTTCCGTGCTGAATAAGAATCTGCAAAGAAATTTGAAATATCTTCAATACTTTTGAAGATATCACAAAAAACCGAAAATTTCTGATTTTCGTTTTTAATTTTTTTATGATAAACCGTATAGTAGACATTTCTAATTAGCACATTATTCGGACACTTTTTAATGGAGATTTCAAATATGGCATCCTGTTTTTAATTACGTTCAAGATGACGGAGAAACACGTGGCAACTTTAGTTTTTCTTATGGGCGCCATATTGAATTTTGACATTTTGGGATTACATCTTTTTTTCTCTTTGCAACGATATATCACACATAGTGGTTCAGTGTCACATTTTTCCTAAAAATACAATTTTTCATTTTTTGAGAAGAGTGCTTTGGAAAAACAAAACGTTCTTTTGTTGTCAACAAAAGTTTGACAGTTTGATCCATCTGTCTGGTTGCAGCGTTGTCAGAGAAGTAGAAATTCGATTTTCATCTCAACCGCTTGCAAAATTGCCTGCTCATATTAATTGGGTCTATCACCATATTGCTGTCTACATCTTTTAAAAGAACCATATTCGTCCAAGTTTGTATGCAGCAAAGAAAAATACCTCAAACTAGGTTGTTGCCCCTCTGGATAACGCTGCAAGTATGTTGCAGCAGTCATGTGGGCATTTCGATGAGAAGTGTAGTAAATTTGGATCATATCTCTTTGATCTGCACTTGAAAAAGGCATTTTCGCAATACAACTAGTATAAACCTAAATGACACTACATGAAATAAGTCAACCTTTTGTTCACAACAAAAGAACGTTTTGATTTCCAAAGCACTCTTCTTAAAAAATTAAAAATTGAATTTTTAGGAAAAATGTGATACTGAACCACCATATGTGATATATCGTTGTAAAGAGAAAAAAAGACGTAATCTCAAAATGTGAAAATTCAAAATGGCGCCCATAAGAAAAACTAAAGTTGCCACGTGTTTCTCCGTCATCTGGAGAGTTATTAAAAACAGGATGCTATATTTGAAATCTTTTTTTGAGATATTTTCAAAACTATTGAAGATATTTAAAATGTCTTTTCAGATTCTTATTCAGCACGAAAATTGGCAACTTTACCCCAATTTAACCAACTTTCTATCTCTTAAGATAAGTGAGATCCCCATAGTGGCACTCGAAAAATGGACACCGTGTATAAACAATGGCTGTACACAGCAAAAGAAAGTCTTTCAAATAATTTAATAAAAATGTTGCGTTCCTAGTGAAAAAAGAAAGTTGTATAATGTCACGGCTATAAAAACTCAAATATAAAAAAACCGTTTGTTATATTCTTACACTCTTTATGTCTTTTAACAAAATCAAAGTGACCGTTTTGTAAAAAAAAAATATATTAGTTTTTTAACTTTGACACTTTTTCTTCAATTTTTTTGTCACAAAACCTGACACAAGATCTTTAGAAGACTTGAACAAAAATGTTGTTAATCTTTTTTAAAAATGCCACGGCGATTTCCTAGGGCATAAATGTATTACAATGAAAAATTAATCTTGCATTTATAACGCTCACTGTCTTACATATAGTATGATCATTGGTATTACTTGCTATCAAGTCTTATTTGATATAATCTCTCAGGGACCATGGCACAATCCGCTTGTTCGGCCACAAGTCTGCAACTTCAGCACGGATTTCGGTGGGTCTTGGTTGCACCTCATATGGAACCCGCTCGCGGATTATTAGGACGGGTCCTAAGAAGGCGCCTTGCAAGTTTAGAATTGGAACAAGGCCTACAACCCGAACTAGCGGCCGTGCTGGGATGGTTACCTCGCGTCTGGCAACATTTAAATGCTTTCCTGGAGACTCACAGCTCGGGTGACGTCGCAATTGGTCCTCGATTGTTTTTGGGTTGCCCCCTCGAATTGGACGCCGCGAGAGCTTGGTTTGCTGACGTCTGGAATTATTCCATCGCGCCTTACTTGCGGGAGGCGGCTAGGGAGGGGTTACAACTTTATGGTAGACGAGCGCCGTGGACGGATCCCTGTCAGTTTATTTTAGAAACATATCCGTGGCCAGGAGCACCTCCGCAGGGCCTGACGAGTATTACGGCTCGCGACATTGGGATTGACACTGGCCCCAGTTCGCAAGCTGACAATGATGGCGACCCTTTACTCAACATGCTAATGCGTTTACAGGAAGCTGCAAACTATTCCAGTCCGCATTCCAATGATTCGGATTGTAATAGTTTAGACTCGACAATGACTCACGATGGAAACATTGGAACGGAAAGTGTTTCCTAATACCTACTAAAACCACCTGCACAGCTTACATATAAATGAAAATTTCATTTAAAATGTATTGCCTGTGACGTAGAACATCATAAAGTGAAGAAAAGGTCTAATTCTGACAGAAACTACAATAAAAAAAGGAATGCCGATTATGTCACTTCTCATTCCAGTGGATCTGCTATTGGTGTAAATAACGCATACCCTCTTACATGTTGAAAAGGGCATTGGCGTTATAATTTATAATGATGCATATTGTAAATTAGTGACAAGAATATTGTAGGGAGTATAATTTTCTACTCATTATTGCCTATATAATCGGCTCTATTTTTGTTAAGTGATTTAGCTAAATGCCAAAAAAGTGTACTTGTATTTCTACATAAAAATCAAACAATAAAGATTATTCTTAATTTAATCTTTACAAAGAAAAGGCACTGCGAGGACTTCTTTAATTCACAAATCAGTTTCTGAAGCATTCAACTGTGAATGTATTTTAGAATTTACTTCATAAGAGTATCTACATGAAATGCTTGATGTATCGGCATTCTTATGTAATCTCTTAGTTTATCTGTGTTTTAATGAGTATATCTGGTCAAATTATAATTTTACTTGTAAATAATGAATGTTATTAATATTATACATTTATACGAGATTTTTATTGTATTTATAATATGTAAAGTGTTTTGCATAATTTTTATATCAAAATCTGTAAACTGCCATAAATTATTTCAATTTTTTAAATATTACGTGTTGTTAGTTAACTTCAGTATCCTTCCGCCGTTATTAATTAATTTAATTTAATCACTCCATTTATACCTTTCTTTTAATATTCCATTGCCTGTTTGGTGTAGGCAGGGTTCCTAAGTCACAAAATTTGTTGGATTTTCCCAGTTTTTTTTTAAACTTCTTTATGTATTATGCGCTTTCGATGGAAAACATTTGCATAAAGTGTCTTTGTTCACATCAGTAGGTATTATGGTTCAAGGAAAGATTGTAAATTGTCAAATAAGTATATAAAGTGGTTTAATGAATCGGTGCAGTCCTGTAGGAGGTAAGTCAATTATATTCAAGGATATACCAACATTGAACATATGTTGCCAAGGAGCGATCAAGGGTCTAGTTATAGAATCATGCGACCATGTGGTCTTTAGTTTCCAATTTCTCCCAAGTAGCAATTTTCTGCCTGTCTGCTTTAAATATAATAATAATATATATATTCGTTATAGTAGCCCAATCTTGGAACTGTTTGAAATTATGGATTCTTCAGGGCAAAATCTAAAAGAAAAAGTTTTTCCCGGTCGATTTGGGACAATTTTTTTTTCCGACCTCAAAAAAAGCAACACTTCGTTTTTACCAAAACGGCGAGGAGGTCTATCAAAGGGAAGGGTCAAAACTTCAAAGATCGTCTACGGCTTAACGAAATGTCGGAATAGGGTTCCTTCAAAGGAAAGGTGCGAGGCGGCGAGAAGATCTAACAAAGGGAAGGGTCAAAACTTCTTGTCTTTGTTTATGCAATTGATACACGTGCGCCATCTCTCTGGTAATCGCTATACTTTTCCAAATTATTTTCTTAGTTGAACAAGTTCCAATGAGATGACGCCACATCCGTAACTTCCTTCTAAAGAAGATTTCAATTTATTCACTTAATAGCCACGTCCCACTTAATTTTCCTTAAAGGGCAGTTCAAAATGTGCAATCTCTTGTAGGATCTGTAGAGCAATTGTACTTCAATGATCCAGTATTTGGAATTGACTTTTGTTTAAGTAATTGGTACGCGTGCGCCATCTCTTTGGTAATCGCTACACTTTTTCAAATTATTTTCTTGTAATAGTTGAACAAGTTCCAATTAGATGACGCCACGTGCGTAAAACCATCTAAAGAACATTTCAATTTATTCACTATATAGCCACGTCCTTCATAGGAAACGTGTGAGGCGGCGAGAAGGTCTATCAAAGGGAAGGGTCAAAACTTCAAAGAACATTTGCGGCTTAACGAAATGATCGACCCGGAAAAAACATTTTCTTATAGGTGGCCTGTAGAATCCATAATTTCAAACAATTCCAAGTTGGGCTACTAGTTCAAAAGTTACAGCCCTTTGAATTTTCTTTCGAAATTGGTTTTTAGTCTATAACTTTTGATTGAGAAGTCTGAATAAGTGGCAGTTCAAAATGTACGGAGTATTGCAAGATCTGTAGAGCAATTGTAGTTTAAAGGCCCGGTTCTTGAATAGATAGATTAAATACAATAAGTACTGGTGCGCCATCTCCATGGCAATCGATACACTTTCTATCAATTATAGTTTTAGAAGTCTAGTTGAGATGTCGCCACGTACGCACCTTCTTTTAAAATTTTGTTTGAATTTATGCGATTAATAGCAACGTTGCACTTATTATTCCTTAAATGCAGTGCCGTTTTTAAGTTTTTCGGGGTCCTGGGCCATTCGATCGTGGATGCCCTCCTTACCCTCAATAAAAACGGCAGATTGGGGAGATTCAAGCAAATCCCTAATTTGAATATGGGCACTCGATATTTGTTTAGCCTGGTTTGTAGGCAACACATCATGCTCAATGAACAGAAAACATTATTATTTTGCAATTCGTAACTTCTTATGCATAGGAGTTTATTTAAAGCCCTTGGAAGAACAATTTCAATAACAGGTACATTAAACTGAACCGTTTTACAACAAGTTTCACACGAAGATCGCACAAACAACACATTTTTTCGTGATTGCAAACTTGCGTAACACTTTTGCCTTATTTCGCTGCCAATTTTACTACCGTTTCTATGACCGTAGTTCTATCAAATAAACTCTAGGCTCAATTCTTTAAAGAATAGCTTCGCACCATCGCCAGCTGCTGCAATCATGCAAACGTTCCGATTTTCACCTTGAGAAGTTGAAATTGCATTAGAATGGGTTTTCTGCGAGTTCTCCACGGTGTCCTCCTGTTTTGGTTACAAAGCATTTCCCTTTTCAATTTGTGTTGTCTGAATTCAATGCTAACGTTTCTCATCCATCGAGAACTACATGTCTTCGATTGCACGACCCAGAGCGAACAGTATCATATTCCGCAAAGGTTGAGTCTGCCGCTTTCCTGTCACTCCCAGTAGCCAGTTCCCTAATTTAAACCTGTAAGCGAGAAAGGAATGATAAAAAAGTTTAATTTTTGACTATAAAATAAACAAACATTCATTATGCATTTGAGGTTAAAACTTAATATATCTATAGTTTTTTTTTTCAGCGCTCTGACATCTAAAGTTAGTTTCATAAAGTACTTTACAAAATTAGTGTGGCGACATCTTTGAGGTGTAACTTCCAACTAAAATAATGATGGTAATAAAGTGTCCTGCATTTTGCGATAAAATGTTAGTCCCCAATAATAATGACAGATGTCAGCACAATGTATTCTGCTTTGATTATTTTAATATTAACCAAAAACTCAGGCAAGGCTATTATACATTTTGGGATTTGTGCCTGTCGCTGTCAAAGGAATAAGCCCCGAAACTCGAAAATTAAACATTTCGCTCCTGTATTATAGCCTATTCCTTTGCGTCATAGCGTTTTTGGATTGCCAAAGGACAGGGCGAGTAAACGGACGGCCGTCCGTATACCTCTTTGGTATCTATACCTAGATTTTTGACGATTTTAATATAGTATCTGTTCGCAATATACGAGTTAAATCGCCATAAGAGTACGCCGCAATAAATAAGAATATTAAATCAGTGATAATTTTAAAGACTTGAGAGTTAAGTTTCATGTGAGTTAGGTTAGATACAGGATTTGTAAAAATTTTAAACGCCCAAACTAATCTGACCTAACCTATATACGACTCTAACCTAACCTTCAATCAACTCCTTGAACATTATCATGATAACAGATTTTTGACCTAACCTAACTAGCACGCTAACCTAACCTCACTAAAATTTTATTTTAACCTTCGAACTCCTCGCACATTATATTCTCCTGATACCAGATTTCTGAGCTAACCTAACTAGCACGCTAACCTAACCTCACTTAAATTTTATTTTAACCTTCGATCTCCTCGCACATTATATTCTCCTGATACCAGATTTCTGAGCTAACGCTAACCTAACCTCACTTAAATTTTATTTTAACCTTCGATCTCCTCGCACATTATATTCTCCTGATACCAGATTTCTGAGCTAACCTAACTAGCACGCTAACCTAACCTCACTTAAATTTTATTTTAACCTTCGATCTCCTCGCACATTATATTCTCCTGATACCAGATTTCTGAGCTAACCTAACTAGCACGCTAACCTAACCTCACTTAAATTTTATTTTAACCTTCGATCTCCTCGCACATTATATTCTCCTGATACCAGATTTCTGAGCTAACCTAACTAGCACGCTAACCTAACCTCACTTAAATTTTATTTTAACCTTCGATCTCCTCGCACATTATATTCTCCTGATACCAGATTTCTGAGCTAACCTAACTAGCACGCTAACCTAACCTCACTTAAATTTTATTTTAACCTTCGATCTCCTCGCACATTATATTCTCCTGATACCAGATTTCTGAGCTAACCTAACTAGCACGCTAACCTAACCTCACTTAAATTTTATTTTAACCTTCGATCTCCTCGCACATTATATTCTCCTGATACCAGATTTCTGAGCTAACCTAACTAGCACGCTAACCTAACCTCACTTAAATTTTATTTTAACCTTCGATCTCCTCGCACATTATATTCTCCTGATACCAGATTTCTGAGCTAACCTAACTAGCACGCTAACCTAACCTCACTTAAATTTTATTTTAACCTTCGATCTCCTCGCACATTATATTCTCCTGATACCAGATTTCTGAGCTAACCTAACTAGCACGCTAACCTAACCTCACTTAAATTTTATTTTAACCTTCGATCTCCTCGCACATTATATTCTCCTGATACCAGATTTCTGAGCTAACCTAACTAGCACGCTAACCTAACCTCACTTAAATTTTATTTTAACCTTCGATCTCCTCGCACATTATATTCTCCTGATACCAGATTTCTGAGCTAACCTAACTAGCACGCTAACCTAACCTCACTTAAATTTTATTTTAACCTTCGATCTCCTCGCACATTATATTCTCCTGATACCAGATTTCTGAGCTAACCTAACTAGCACGCTAACCTAACCTCACTTAAATTTTATTTTAACCTTCGATCTCCTCGCACATTATATTCTCCTGATACCAGATTTCTGAGCTAACCTAACTACCACGTTAACCTAACCTCACTAAAATTTTATTTCAATCTTCAATCTCCTCGCACATTATATTCTCCTGATACCAGAATTCTGAGCTAACCTAACTAGCACGCTAACCTAACCTCACTTAAATTTTATTTTAACCTTCGATCTCCTCGCACATTATATTCTCCTGATACCAGATTTCTGAGCTAACCTAACTAGCCCGCTAACCTAACCTCACTAAAATTTTATTTTAACCTTCGCACATTATATTCTCCTGATACCAGATTTCTGAGCTAACCTAACTAGCACGCTAACCTAACCTCACTAAAATTTTATTTCAATCTTCAATCTCCTCGCACATAATATTCTCCTGATACCAGATTTCTGAG